GCCCTGCCCATCAGACAGAGCATCTTCCTCCAGGTCCTGATGCTGCAGAGACTCCCTTCACTCATGAGCTCCAGGTGACTGGGCGCACAAGTGGCACCTGGGAGCAGAGAGACACCAGGTGGTTCACGGTGACACCGTTCAGGAAAGCAGTTAGAGTTAAAGGGAGCACAAAACATGAGTAGGTTCACCTGTGAAGGCAAGTCCAAGGGTCATGGTGGCTCTACAAGCAGCACTGGGCTCTGTGACTCTCTGGCCACCAGACAGTGTCCCAGGGCCCAGGAATAAGAAATCATAGAAGGGCTAGAAAAAAAGGCTGAGAACATTCTCAGAAAAGTAGGAGAATGTAATGAAAATGGGAGAGAAACAAAAGATGGGATGGGGGGAAAAGGGGTATTGGTCTAGAATGTTCATTATCTAAATAATCACTGCTCTGGGAAAAAGAAAACTGAATAGAGTATATGGAGGGGGAGAAATTAGTTTTAGAAACAACACAACAAACACTTCAGGAAGATTTTCCTAAACTAGAGGACAGATCTGAGCTTCAGGACTGAGCTTCCCTTAGTTACCAGAACAGTGGATGCAAAAGGAGGGAGGGCTCGGGGAAAATAAGGCACAAAAGTAGTAGCTTACATGTGAAGGGGAAGATGCTGATGTGGTGCTTACACTTGTGATTACAAAGCAAAACCAGACTCACTGCCATTGAGGTGATGCTGACTTATAGTGACCCTCTAGGACAAAACAGAACTGTCCCTGTGAAGTTCTGAGATGGAAACTTTTATGGGAGTAGAAAGCCTCACCTTTCTCCTGAGCAGTGGCTAGTGGTTTTGAACTACTGACCCTGTGGTTAGCAGCCCAACTCAAAACCACTATGCCACCAGGGCTCCTACGCTTATGGTCAAGAAGTTGAAAATGAATTACACATAGATACACAGAAACTAAGCAAGTAAAAAAAAAGTGCAACGAAAAAGAAACATGAAAGTGGTATTAAAAAAGAAATATGTGATATCGGTCATTTAGGAAGAAAGGTGCCCAGCAAACACAGTAATATAGACAGTGCACGTGAATCTGACCAAATGCCGTAAGGGAATGCTACTGGGAGGCTGGCCAGGGAGCAAGTCTCAGAGCGCACATGTGGTGTGTGCTGGGTGCGGATTGGGTGTAAACTAGCCACGCGCTCGCTTTCTAATCTGAAGACCCTGGGTGAAATTTAAAGCTTGTACTTAACGGGCAGGTGTGTCCATTAGAAATGTGCAGGCCAAGAGTCACACTAGCTAAGAGCGGGGGAGATACTTGCCTTTAGACTAGAAAAGACTAATCCGACTGTGGAGGGAGACTGGTGTTTTATATCGCAAGTGTGTTGTGTCAGTCCACGAGTTTGGGTTTGTGAAAAACAAGTTCATTTTATAGCATCTTGTCTTTCAGAAAAGCACCATTAAAAAAATCCAGACTATCTGTGTGTTACAGTGTTTCCTCAGAGGGCAAAGGCTCTCCTCACGTGTTCCCTTCACGGAGATTTCTACAACGAAAGCACATTTTGATTTCACTGAACCGACCCACTGGAAAATCAGACAAACTATCGGAAAGAATGGCAGCGCCTTTTAAAGGTGTCAGCACCGGGCTTGTCTATTCCATTCTCAGTCTTCATGTTGGCTCGCACACTGGAAACACCAAGGGAAAAATAAAACCTGGGCCATAAAAATCACTTTCATTTGCTGCTGACCCAAGGTTTTTGGGTTTTTTTGTTTTTAAATCAATGGCAGCATCCTCAATTATGATCAATCTGTAGCTTCAACGCCAGCCAAGAGCGCTATTGAACGTGAAAATACATTCATAACTGATGGCTCATCTTTACAAGTTGGGAAATCTTTCTGTAAAAACCACATGGCTTTTTGAGCTTTCAAGAGCTATGGACAATTTTCTTAGGCTAAGCAGTGGATTAATATGGAATGATAATCAACCCACTTAATAGAGATAGACCCGAAAAGGCAAAGTTTGACAAATGAATTCTAACTTGAGTCTGGTTACATCGGTGTGTTAACATAGATTGTGCGCTTCCAGTCAGACATTGTTGTGTGCCATTTGCCAACTCTCGAATGCTGTGACACTGAAAGCTCTTACTCTGGGCACTGTCACAATGCTTGCGTGCGCGCACATCTCACAGCTTCGACACTAGAGCTGGTTGCTACAAAAGGCACGGGTCTGTGTGAAGCATGTCAGGTAAACTAGGCAAGCAGTTCATTCACAGCACAGTCCTTGCTCATCACTCCCCACACACCTCAACCCAAGTGTACACTCAAAATAGGCACAATCTATGACAGGCGGAGGGACTTGCCGACCAGACATTTTGAACGTGATTGGATCTGGGATTCCTTCCTATAACCCATACCAGGTCCAGACAGAGAATTTCAGGCAGCCCAAGGTCAGAGCAGTGGGGCTCTTTCTATTCTGATGTGGCTCAGAGCCTCAGAACTGGCATGGAGGATGCTGGCAGTAGGTGAGTGTCCCTTGCTGCTCTGGGGCATTGGAGAAGGATGAGGGATGGGCAGAGGAGATGGGGGAGCTTCAGGAGGAAAAAGAGGAGGAGGAGGAAGAGGAGGAGGAGGGCGAGCAACTAGGAGAGCGCAGGGACAGGGTCACAGACAGGGGTAGTTCTATTGTTCACCTCTCACAGCAGCTAGTCTTGTTTACCCACACTGTGAGGACATTGGCTTGTGTCTTCTCGCTTAATCAAAAGGTAATTACTTTTTGAAGTTTAATTGCTGTTATTGAATTGAGGTTGATAAAATTTAAAGTTGATAAAATTTTACTTCCTATGATCGCGGCCTTCAAATGCAGGTGGTCTTAATATAATCCAATGAATTATAGGAATGCACTGTCTCCACTTCTTTGGGTCCTTTAGAATTAGTAGAGTATCATATTTCGATTAAATTAAAAGACCCACTATTAATTAAGGAGTCCTGGTGGCATAGTCCTTTTGATCTGCATTCGGGCAGTGGCAACCACCAGCTGTTCAGGATAAAGATGGGACTTTCTCCTCCTGTAAACAGTTCCAGTGTTAGAAACACAAATGGACCATTCTACCCTGTCCTATGGGGTCACTATGAGTCGGCTGTGACTCGATGGCAGTGAATGAGACAATTAATGAAACCAGAATTGAACTTTGACATGCACAGGTAGACACAAGTGAAACAACAAAAACTATCTCTAGATGCTATGGGTTATTTTTCCTAGTTAAAAAAAAGAATACTTAACCTCCAAGCCTAAATCAAAGCGGTGCTGGTACCCCGAGTTAAGTACCATAGTATGCTAGACCAACTTGGAGAAGGGTTGACATCTTGCTGCCATGTATTCCTTGGCTTATAATTTTCTTTGTATTTTATTGGGTTCCTGAGTATATTGTTTGTTACTTACATGTTTTGAAAAGGTTTACATTAGAAGTCTGCCCTTAAACAACGAGTGAGCACATATCATTGTTATCATTCTAACCTTCAAGATATGAACATCTCGAACAACATAGGCGCAGACAGGCTCTTCAGGGGGGCCAGAGCACCATCAAACCCAGGTGTTCCCCTTGTGCCTCAGGTTCCACCCCTCTTGTGGCACCTGAGGGAAAGGGGGGTCATCTTCAGAAAAGCCCTAAGGGCTCTAAGTATATCGGATGCTGAGAGAATTCATTAGAGATGGGAGAGAACCCGCATGCCCAGGGTATTGGGAGAAAGCATTAGGCTGCAGCTTCCCTTTGAATGAGAAGCGGGTTCGATAGAGGGACAGAGAAGCAGACAGGCCTTTCAACTCAAGGCCAGGAAATACGGTTAAGTATGTGTGGGGACACGCGCTCAGGGTCCGGCCCGAGGGAGACTGAGGGAGGAGAGTGCGGGAACGTAAAAGCAGGTGGTTAGAAGCCTGCGCAGGGTCCCCCGAGAGAGGTCCAGGGCGTCTTCCCCTTCCCCACCCCGATACTGGAGCTTTGAACTCACAGCCTTGGAGTGAGTCACCTCTGGAGGGGGCTCTTGATTCATCTGGAGCTAGTTTGAACACTGGCTTCTGCCGAACCAGAAGCCAGTTGTGGGCCATGGACTCTGGATTTTTAATGGGCCCCTCAAGTAATTTTCATATCCAGCAGAGTATGAATTCATAGCAACCCTACCGGACAGGGTAGAAATGTCTTTGTGGGTTTCTGAGACTGTAGCTCTTTACAGGAGCAGACAGCCTCGTCTTTCTCCCACCCAGCGACTGGTGATTGCAAACTGTGGATCTTATGGTTAGCAGCCCAACACATAACCACTAGCCACCAGGGTCTCCAGCTGTCAGAATCCACTCTATGGTAGTGAATTAAAAAAAAAAAAGTTGTGAGCACCACACGCAGACAAGCGTTGATTGCATAGACTTCCAGAATCGATCTTGAATTCCAATCTGGACTTGATGTACAATCTCACTTTTGGCCAGTCTCTTCCCAAGTCTGCAAAGTGGAGCCCTGAACACTCAACTTCCTGGAAGGTTGGTGCGATGGAGAGGAAAACACCAAGCAGAGCAAGGCCTCCTGCCGTGCCCTCGGGGTCTATCTGCTCCTCCAATGGGAGCCTTCCTGCTGGGCCCTGCCCTTACCTGGATGAAGACTTGGAGCGCGGTGCGGCTCACCAGCACAGTGCACACACGCGAGGCGGTCTCTGGCTCCTGCTTCTGGCCCATGATGACTGCCATGGGCAGTGTGAGGCCCAGAGAAGCGGCCCGGCCACCAGCTGCAGCAGCAGCAGCGCCAGGCTGAGCGTAGGGGACCAGGCCCCCCGGCCCGCGCCTTCAGCACCACGTGTGAGGACAGCGCATTGCCCGCCGCGGCCAAGGCCCAGATGAATGTGCTCAGAGTTCTGCGACCGGCACCTTGACCCAGACGCGCGTGTCCACGCCCAGCCGGGCGTCCAGGCTCAGCGTGGGGCTGGGCCTGGAGCTTGGGGACCGCAGACTGCTGGCCTCTGGCTCCATCCTGCTCCACGGCTGGCGCTGCCTCCCTCCGACCGAAGTTCTCTTTCACTTCCCAGGGGCTGGGTGAGCTGTCCGGGAAGCGAGTGCCGCCTCCTCGCCCCACCGTGAGAATCTGCCTATCTGGGAAGACGGGTCTCTCCAAGCGTCCCCGGAGCAAACCCAGAGGCATTCAACATTCTCAGCTCAGTTCAGCCCAGGGAAGCTGGCGTGGGGCCAGATCAGTATGAGATGGGACCAGCTGTACTGTTAGTAAACGGTATCTGCGTGACCACCAACGCGAGGCACTCACCTCTCCCGGTGCATTTCTTCCCTGCAAAATATGACCCCCATTTCAGACTTTCTGAGACGATTAAACGAGAAGATGCTGTTTTCCTTGCTAAGCGGCTTTTCAGTGCTGAAGGAATACAGGTAAGGACTCCTTTTTGCTGATCCACTGCAGCCCCCTTGGTACCATGCTTTGTGAGAAAGCTGTCCTCGTGTGCAGGGAGAGCCTAGAACACAAAGGAGTGTGTTTAGAACGTCTTAGTGTTTTTTACGTGTCTTTGCGGAACTCACATTAGACTCCAGAACTTCAGAGCTCAAACAGGCTCCAGGCATCCCCTCGCATCCTATTCTGACAGCCTCTGGTGTCTATTGGGGGTGGAAGTAAAATTGGAACCAACTTTTGTTATGATTATGTTTATTATACTTTGCCTTCAGTGAGGTTGCTCTGGTCCAACCAAATGACCATCGCTTTACTTTCCACACGGTTATGTAACCCTCACCATAGCCAAACCCACTGCCGTGAGTTGATGCCGACTCACAGCAACCCTATAGGACAGGGTGGAACTCTCCTGGTGAGTTTCCATGACTGCAACTGTTTACAGTCGTGTCAACGTCTTATGGGGGATAAGAGTGGGAACAGAGTCAAGGAGGGGGGAGTGGGGAGAACAAAAAATGGAGGGTTTAAAATTAAAAAAATAAATAATAAATTAAAATTGCTCATAAGAAAATCCTCCAGATCTAATTGTTGGTCCGAGGGGCTAAAAATGGAGGGACAGCAAACCTGAAGTGAATTTAAAGTCTTTAATGACACACAGGTTCATTTCAATACCTAAATAAGCCTTCTTTTGACTGTCTCTCAGCATCTGCGATTTTTAATAGTTTGCCATTTCTTCTTCAAAATAAGATTTCAAAAGAAAGCTCTTGTCCCGTGAATTCCCGGGGCTGTAAAACAATTGAGAGACAGATCAGGCATGCACATGAGAGAGAGACCGTAACTGCGGTCAGGGCTCTACTGGTCACTGGTTGAGCGTCTGAGACAGTCACCAGCCTTCTTCTTCCTGCTAGGTGCCAAGTCAGTCCTGACTCATGGAAAACTCACATCTATCAGAGAGAAAGGTCGCCCCGGCCTGCTTCCTCCTCAGGCCACTGGTATGTTTGGGTCCATTCTGGTCGCTAAGATGGAAAACCAGCTCACTGAGGGTTCCCTGGGTTTCGCTGTCTCCTTTACCAAATGCGATGCATTTTTTCTAGCGATTGGTCTTTCCTAGTTGACATGTCCAAAGGATGCGAAGCTCAGTCGTGCCATCTGACTTCTAAGAAGCATTCTGGTTGGAGTTCTCCTAAGATGGACCTGTTCATTTCTCTGACAGCCCATGATACATTCAGTGTTCTTCACCAATGCCGCAGCGAGAACGTGGGGGTCCGTTCTTCTGTCTTCCTCTCTCCTGGGCCAGCCTCTGCATGTACATGGTGGCATGCAAAAGGCCACGGATTCGATCAGCCGCACTTCTGATGAAAGGGACTTTTGCCCGGTGGTATTTGCCCAGTGCAGTACCTCGTTTGATTTCTTGACTGTGGCTTCCGTGGACATTGAATGCTGATCCGAGTAGAATAAAATGATGGATAATTTCAGTTTCTGCCCGCCTCCATTTATCATGATGTCGTCAATCAATTCCGTTGTGAGGGTGTCTGTTTTCTTTATGTTCCAGTGCAATCCATGTGGAATGGAGACTGTGGCCCCTGACCTGCCTCTGTAAGTGTGCAGGTCACCCTTATTTCCTCATGAGCAAGGTTGTCTCATCTACACAGTGCAAGTTGGTAACGAGTCTTCCTCCAATCAGTCTGATGAGCCAGCCTCTTGGATCTGCTCCCCCTACCAACTGAACATGCAAGTCAACAACCTGACCTGTGCCACCAGTCACCACCACCGATCTGTCAGCCTGTGGCACCAACTCGTGTGTCGCTAGGATGCTGAGAGCAACGCATGCCACCGCCAGGACAACCGTGGAGGACAAGAAGCAGCTGTGATGGGCCTTTGAAAGTTCGTCTCTCTCCGTCTCTCAGCTTTCGTGTCATAGGGAAGCACAAGGAAGAAATGAAAAAAAAAATGTCTCTGGATTCTCATTCTTGTAGGGGTGGGGGCATTTTTCCAGGGAGGCATGTCAGAGATGTGACAGAGGTACGTCTCACCTCTGAGGGCAGCTCTAGGCCAGGGTTGTCCATCATGTAGAAATAGGAGAATTTGTTTTGTATTTTCTGTGGGTGGGCATCTCCAGCCAGGTCAGAGGAGAATTAAGAAATGCAAGTAATGCTGAACTGAGGCAGCTTCCGTGCCATTGACTTCCACCTGGGGGTCCTGCCATTGACTCCCCTGTGGGTCCTGCCATTGACTCCCCTGGGGGTCCTGCCATTGACTCCCCTGTAGGTCCTGCCATTGACTCCCAGGTGGGTCCTGCCACAGGCACTTGCTGAGGCAGAGAATTCCTACTTTTACCTTGGGGACCAGGGCAGCAAGAGGTCTCATTCTTGGGCATCCTGATCTGAGCCCTTCACAAAGCACTTGCTAAAGGGAGCTTTGTGCACTGAGGCTTGTATAGAGGCTCTGGGCTTCGAACTTGCTCCTTTGGTACCCATCAGAACCCAATTTTGTCTGTAAACTAAAGAAAAAACAATGGTTGAGATTGATCTCGGACTGCGTTGGGTGACTCTGATGCTTGATATCCTCTAGTGTCTATGTAAGAATCACCGTCTTGGCTTTCCTATTTAACCATGGACCAGAGAGTTAAAGTCTTCGATTTCTAAATGTGTCCCAAATAATTCAGTGCTCTAGGGATGCCAGATAAGAAGAGGTGCTCTGTTTCAGGCTGTTGGGCAACAGGATAAAGTAATTATAAGACTTCTGGGTCAAGCCAGAGGGTCTCTGATGCCAGGAGCCTAGAGCAGTGGTTCTCAACCTTCCTAATGCCGTGACCCTTTAATACAGTTCCTCATGTTGTGGTGACCCCCCGCCCAACCACAAAATTATTTTTGTCGCTACTTTATAATTGTAATTTTGCTACTGTCATGAATCGGGCGACCCCTGTGAAAGGGTCATTCGACCCCCAAAGGGGTTGCGACTCATGGGTTGAGAATCGCTGGCCTGGAGCTTTTGCTTGCTTTGTGTGTCTGAGTTCTTGCTTGTTGCATGTTGGATCCCATCAAAAGGGTTTCCAATTTATGAGAGGCTTTGGGTCCTGGTGCCAACAAGCAACCTGAAGAGATGATTTGCTATGTGACCATTTGTAAAAACAGTAAGCGTCAATTCCTGTGTTAGTCCAGGTAGACTAGAGAAGCAAATTCATAGACACTCATGTGTGTATAAGAAAGAGCTGTATATACACAAGATCAACTGTATATTAAGAAAGCATCCCATCCCAGTCTAGATCAAGTACATAAGTCTGATATGAACCCATATGGCCAATGCCAGTCTGTAAATTCCTCTTCAGACTCATGCCATACATGCAATGATGCAGAGTGCAGGAAAATCACAGCCCAGTGGGTGGAAAGCCTTGTGGATCCAGTAGCAGTGGAAGCATCTCAGCTCTGGCAGGGGTCTCCATGTGGCTCTTCCAGGGCTCTCTCTCTGTCAGTGTAGCTCAATGTGGCTTGTCAACAGGAATGTGTAGCAGAGAGTGTGTGTGTTCCAAATCCAGTGGGCTCTTTATCTCCTTAGTTCCTCTAAATGAGTTCATCAAGCTGCAACCTGATAGACAGGCTAAAATCCACCCTTTCATACTTAATAGTCTCAAGTTGGCAACCGATTATGTAATTACCACAGTTTCCTTTTTTCTTCTAATGTAAGACTTGAGTCATGGTAAGATTCTCTGACCCAAAAGAGCAGAATTTAGCTTCATGGGAACAATAAGAGTCACTGTGTGTGTGTGTGTGTGTGTGTGTGTGTGTGTGTGTAAATTAAGAGAGACAGAGAGAATGGTGAATGTTTTATGAACCTGTATTTCTCTTTCTTTTAGTCTCTCTAGACCTACTCTTTCCCTTCTCCCCTCTGCTCTGAGCCCCCTGACCTCCGGCTGGGTTCAGCTAGTGGAGGAAGGTGGAGGAGTGAGAGGAGTCAAAGAGCAAGTGCTACCCCATTGGCCTGGACGCCTTCTCTGCTGGTGGTCATGGATTGACCGAGACCTCAGAAGATGAAGCTCTCTTTCTGGTGTATTTGTTTTCTATGGCTACCGTGACAACTCACACAACCTTAGTGGTGTAAAGGGAGGAAACAAGGCTCTCTGCGCTCATAAAGGGTGACAGTCTCAGAAACTCGCAGGGGCAGTTCTACCTTGTCCTGTAGGGTCACTATGAGTTGGACTAGACCCGCTGGCCATGAGTAGTTGCAGAGGAGCTTCAATAATGCAGATTAGTCAACTGAAAGTTCCAGAAGGTAGAAGTCCAAAATAGGGCTCTTGGTGCTAAACTCGAAGTGCCACCAGGCAACTCTTTTTTTATATAGGGGCTCCTGGGAAGGAATCAGTTCCTTGCCTGTTCTAAAATCTGGAGACTATCCATGTTTTGTGGCCCGGGGCCCCATCCTCATCTGCCCAATCAGCAGTTTCAGGATGAAACCTTCCCACAAAACCACGGATCTCTTTCTCTTCTGCGGTTTCCCCTCTTCCCATTTTAAGGAACACATGGTTCTATCGGCTCCACCTGAACAGCACGGGCAGGACGGTGGCAGAAAGGAGAAGCCCAGAGGCCACGCTCCTCTTCATTCATCACTATTGTTTAGAGATAGGACAGGCCAATCCCCCATAAAATGTCAACTGGCTACCGACCTTAATTCAATCCGTCACCTAATTTCCCTCCACCACGTCATGTGGCAGACGCAACGTATGTCACACAGCAAAGTCACACATGTCAGGGATTGGGAAGTGAATCGCTTTGGGTGGGACAGTCTTTCTGCTATCCACTTGGGCTCAGGTTACTGCTCCCTGACCTTCTCCGCCCCTCTCCTCTTACTGCCCCAAGGGGCTTCCCGTCCCCCAGTGATAGTCTCCACTCTGCTCAATTGCCCCTTCACCAAACCTTTCATCAGGATCTAGCGAGTGTGCTCTCTAGTTACGCTGGGATTCTGACTGACAGGATGCGTGGGCATATGTTTGTGTGTGTGATTCTTAGAGCTTGTGCAGGTGTGTGTAGGCATCTGAATGTGCTGATCTGAGTGATCTGGATCAGTGGACATAGGCAGGATGCTGAACCCCAAATCGACTGCCGTCAAACTGATTCAAACTCATGGCAACCCCGCAGGACCGAGTAGAGCTGCTCCTTAGAGGCTCCTTCCTCACTCTCCCTCGGAGAGACTGGTGGGTCGAACCACTAACCTTGTGGGCAGGAGCCCAGCACTTAACCAACTGTGCCACCAGGGATCCTTAGGTAGGATGCTATTGATGAATAAGTTCCTGTCCCTCACTGATGTGAGCACCTGTTTGAGTCAGCTGACATCGCCAAACTGGGGCCACGCCTTTTCCTTCAAGGCACAGTCCCTGTTACTGGACTCCCTCGCTCTCTGATGACCTTTTCTTTTTCCCAGATACGAAAGCTCCAGTGTCTGGTTGGGGGTCACCACCACATGAGGAACTGTATGAAAGGGTTGCGGCATGAGGAAGGTTGAGAACCACTGCCGTAGTGGGACAGTGGTTAAGTGCTTGGCTCCTAACCTCTCAACCAGAGAAAGGTGAGGCTGTCCCACTCCTGTAAAGATTTATAGTGCTAACACACACACACACACACACACACACACACACACACACACACACACACACAGAAACCAGAAGCCAAACTCACCGCCATCAAGTGGATCCCGACTCACAGTGACCCTATAGGGCAGAGTGGAACTCCCCCATGGGTTTCCGAGTCTGTCCGTCTGTCCGGGAGTAGAATACCTCATCTGTCTCCTTGAAAGGGCGAGTTGGTTTGGACTGGTGGCTTTGCAGTGAACCCTGTACCCCACTAAGCCACGAGGGCTCCTCTGTAGCATAACTTAGAAGAACCGAGGAGCCCTGGGGGTGTCGTGGTTACGTGATGGGCTGCAATCGCATGGCCGGCAGTTCGAAACCACCAGCAAGCAGCTCCACAGAAAAAGACTGGGCTTTCTCCTCCGGTAAGAGTTCCAGTCTCAGAAACCCACAGGGAGGGCGGGATGAGTCAGCACCGGCTCACGCAGTGCGCTTGGTTTCTTGGGTAGCATCATCAGCCCTTTAAGACCCAGGGTCAGAGGGCTGGGGAAAAGGAGGAATGTGACCGGGAAGCTGAGCAATGGGATAAGTGATAGCACATTGAGGGGAATTGAAGTGTATAAATGGAAAGAGCCTGTGTATGCATCGCTGAATGTGGAATAGAAGACACCCTGCTCTGAACGCTGCCATCCAAATCCCAATAAGAAATCTGAAAAGCAAGACGAACGGCCCTTGGGAACCTTCTCAAGCAGTTCTACTCGGTCTTATAGGGTTTGCTATGAGCTGGAACGGACTTGACCTCGATGAGTTTGGCTTTAATACGCGCAGTTCTGCACCAGGCAGAGGACACTAGAGGGTGTCCTCATGTGTTCTCCACCTCCACCCCCACCCCACC